TTTACAAAGAAAATAAAAAACTGATCATGCCAAATCAAAAATATTGTGATGCACATGCTTTAGTCAACAAACTAAAGCTTATCTCTAAGAGTAAAAGAGTTAATGATACCAGGTATACGTGAATAGTAAGTGAACTTTAGCAGAAATTTCTAAGGTACCTTGGAGGCAAACAGGCAATCTGTAACATAAGCCTAATGGCCTTCCTAAGTGCGTAATCGCCCTACATGCCCACCAGGTGGCCACGTTATATAACGTCAACAAGGAGTTGAATCAAAAACTGTGCAGATTGAAAGTTGAGAAGGATGGAAAATTGTATGTGATTGTCTACATCATAAAACAAAGCATCCTATTACAATTGCACTGTACCATTGTACAGTAGTGTATGATAAGCAGTCCTACCCTGGCACCCATTGCCTTACCCCAGTCTGTATTGTCCCCAGGGGCTGGCCCAGAGGTCACACATCAAGAGTTACTTCCCTTAGGTAGGTTTGGACCAAGCTCCTCACACTGATAGCCCATTTGAAGATCTCTGTATACTGTCACTGCCACCAGTCAAAGCTCCCAACTGTGATAGGTGGCTACAACCATGCATGGATTTGAACTCATAACTGACAGACTGTCATGTTTACAAACAGGTGATGATAGTCGTGACGCCAAATACTCTAAATTATTTTCTTTGTTTGACAATTTGAATTTCTATTTCATTTCAACCATCATGTACTTGGTATAGTAAAAATGTAAGTTGGGATTTGGGTGATTTTCCATGAGTCTGCAATCCCGAACCAATCTGATGAAGGTAAGCTAGTTCATCAAATCTGGTCAGTCGTAAACCATTTCAAAATTCACTATGATGGCATTCCTAAAGATGTAAACAAAAGTATAAACGTTACCACATTTGGGGTTCGAGGGCAAATTTCAAGATTCTTGTAATTGCCGTGCCCCCACTGGTGGCAGCAATGTTACCGAGAGCGTAATGAAGGTGTCACGTGCTGTGAGGAGCTTGGGTCAGGACATCAAGAGTTATTTCCCTTAGGTACCAGGATTTGCTGGTCCCGGATTTGCCCCAGTTATGATCCTAAATGGACTGTCTCCACCATACTGTCACTCCATGGTAATACGGCAGACTAGTACATGTCTTAGGGCCTACCTCATTTATGGCTTTCTTCATACATTTGATTACATGCTGCAGCTCATAGGAAATATTGTTCAAAGTAGCTTCATTGCTAAACTTGCTAACTAGTTTCTTGGTGCCAGACTTCAGAGGATTGCATTTTCTTACGTCAATATTTACTTTCAATATTTGAACCTCCTTTTTTGTTTACCAACAAAAGTGATGTTTACTGTGTGGTTAAAGTGTTCACTCTTAAAGTCAAAGGCTCTGGTTCAGGTTCCCATTGGTATAATGTGTAAAAGCTGATTCTGGTGTCCCCTGCCTTGATATTGCTGGGATATTGCTTGAAGCAGTTTAAAAACCAATCTCACTCTTTGTTTACTCATGACAATTTAGAAGGTGGTAAAACATTCATTTAGCCTATGCATTGAATGACAGTGCTGTGTTACGACCAACATCTTGACCACTCCATGTAATTCAACTCCGTTGACTGAGATTAACCAACACCTTGACCATGCCATGTAGACCCATCTCAGTTGACTGAGAGACTGACCAACACCTTGACCATGCCATGTCGATCTATCTCACCTGACTGTGAGATTGACCAACATCTTGACCATGCCATGCAGATCCATCTCACCTGACTTATGTTTCTAGATTTGTCAGCACCATATCCATGCTCGTTGGTTTCACCAAAGTGGTAAACGTCTGAGACCTGCATCACTTCGGGCTTTCCTCCCACATTAAGCAGACATGCCGTGATATAACTGGAATACTGTTAAAAGTGGCATTAAACCAAACTCACTCACTCATTCATTTCACCTGACTGTGAGATTGACCGACACCTTGACCACACCATGAAGATCCATCTCACCTGACTGAGATTGACCAACATCTTGACCATGCCATGTAGATCCATCTCACCTGACAGAGAATGACCAGCACCTTAACCACACCATGAAGATCCATCTATCCTGACTGAGAGATTGACCAACACCTTAACCACACCATGAAGATCCATCTCACCTGACTGAGAGATTGATCAACACCTTAACCACACCATGCAGATCCATCTCACCTGACTGAGAGATTGACCAACACCTTAACCACACCATGAAGATCCATCTCACCTGACTGAGAGATTGACCAACACCTTAACCACACCGTGCAGATCCATCTCACCTGACTGAGAGATTGACCAACACCTTAACCACACCATGAAGATCCATCTCACCTGACTGACAGATTGACCAACACCTTAACCACACCAGATAGATCCATCTCACCTGACTGAGAGATTGACCAACACCTTAACCACACCGTGCAGATCCATCTATCCTGACTGAGAGATTGACCAACACCTTAACCACACCGTGCAGATCCATCTATCCTGACTGAGAGATTGACCAACACCTTAACCACACCATGAAGATCCATCTCACCTGACTGAGAGATTGACCAACACCTTAACCACACCATGAAGATCCATCTCACCTGACTGAGAGATTGACCAACAACTTAACCACACCAGATAGATCCATCTCACCTGACTGAGAGATTGACCAACACCTTAACCACACCATGTCGATCCATCTCACCTGACTGAGAGATTGACCAACACCTTAACCACACCATGCAGATCCATCTCACCTGACTGAGAGATTGACCAACACCTTAACCACACCATGTCGATCCTACTTGCCTTACTATCAGGTCGACAAACATTACTGTTTACCAGTCCATCAACACAACCCCATAAGCTATTGACAAATTACCGCTGTACAATTATGAGAAGACAGGTCTATGATAAAGGAATGATCATCGGGTGATGCTCCCTTTGATGACATTGATTACTTAGTGTGAGAATGTGGACCTCTGCACTATTAAGTAATCCTCTATTGTACAATAAATCTACAGATATTTCTGCTTTCGAGAGGATTATTGACAACATGGCCTTTGCAAATATGCTAAGACAGAGAGAGTACGTTGCTTGGATGAGGACATACTGCTTACATCATGACCATCATAGATTCAGCTGCAGAATTGACAGAAACCTAAATGTTGAATTACAGTCCACAAGAGCGCTGCAGGGCTTTTCTTGTCATTATTAATTCCGAGGGGTGCAAGGTCATATACTCAGTAACCTAAGTGAACAATTTCAGTAATTTTACACACTGACTGTAACATATATACTGGTAGATATTTATTTTGCTTTTATCAAATTTTGGGGGGTTATACTGAACAAACATGAATATTTTTGTAGTGAAGACTGAGTTTCTTTAAATGTGTATGGTATATGGAAATATTTCATGATCCCTTACTTTTTTGTTCAATATATATGAAATAAATGTTTTGTCACAAAATATTTTTCAATTTGATAACTTCTGCAAAATATGTATACTTAAATAATGAATTCATTGACCCATCCAACCAAACATGGCATCACTCGTTTGTGTGATCATCCGATTCCTGAAACTATGCACACAAATAATTATCACCACCAAGTGTTTACCACATGTCAAGCATTAAAGCACTGCTCATAGACTGGTTCATGAGTTTCTATATGGTGCCAAATCCAAAGAATACTCAGTATCCGATCCCGAAAATGTGCTTTTGTTTATTCCCCCAAATCTTCACAATGATCCGGGTATTAATATCAAACCTATTTTCAAGAAGAACATGAATAAAAAAATATGGAAACATTGATCTGGCACCTTTAATGTAAAACACAGGGATACTTTGACTTATTCCTGGTTTACAGCAATGCTTCATAGATGGAATATTGTCTTACATCAATCTGCATGTGTTGACTAGTCTGGCTCCCGCAGGCATCCTGCACACGTCGGGATGAAAGCAAGTGGCATTGTGTGTCTTCATATGTGTCGCTGCAGTTGCATCGCAGAGTTATAGAGCTGTATAATATTGCACATTTATTAACGTTTCAACCTCTAATCAGACTAAGTGATTCTTAGAGTGGAGTCATGATTAATCCTCTGATTCATGCTGCCAGTGTCTTTAGAGAGGATCGCAGTCGAGACGATAAACTTGAAATATGATAGTCCATGAGCGCCATTACTGCAAGGACACTAAAGTGTCTGCTGAGTGCTATACATAGCTGGGTGATGAAAGATATTGACTGTGTAGACAGACAGAATCATAGCTTGCACAATTTCCTGCTATGGAATGAGCTTAATTAACACTGGTCAGCATTTGAGAAGCATTGTATGTTAACATTGAGCATTTCATTTGGGGTATGTGATGCCAGTTGTTTGACATATGGGAGTGATGGAAGTTTTAGCTTTTATGGGGTTTGAGGCCATTGGAAGCGGAGACACAGATTCTGGGCTGAGATTGTCACTTGATAATCGTGTTTATATGTCCCTCCATGGTCGTCATGGAGAAATATTTACCTCAATAGTTGTCTGGTGAAATTTGATCAGATCTGATATCTCTTTATGGAATATATATTATTGGTAACATATGTACCTGTGTAGACAGGTGTGCAATATAGCTTAGAAAGGTGTGCAATATAGCTTAGACAGGTGTGCAATATAGCTTAGACAGGTGTGCAGTATAGCTTGTAATGAAAACATGAAGTTAAAAAAAAATCTATTTGGGCTTAAAGAGACTAGGTTCAGACCTTGTGATCAGTGTCTTAGGAAAAATATGACTTGATTTCTGGGTAATTGGGGAAATATGAGTGAGTGTGATTTCACATCACTTTTAGCAATATTCCAGCAATATCACAGCTGGGGACACCAGAAATGGGCTCCACCAGAAACTGGCTCCACACGTTGTACCCATGTGGGGAATCGAACACGAGTCTTGGGCGTGACAAGTGAACACCTTGACCATTAGGCTACCCACAGCTGCTTTACACTTTGAAGTG